CACATTCACCAGTTTACAAAAGTAAATGGGCAACACAAAGGCCTTGACAGCCACTCTTGCCCACTCCTGAGAGCTCCGGTGGCCTAGTGGTAAGAAGCTGCACTGCATCTCCTAAAGGCACTCAGTTCAAATCCAGAGAAGGATGAACAATCACATCTTGTGATTTAGTGGCCCTGAAAACCCACTGGGGGGGTCCTAAGCAGGTTCCTACAGGACAACAGCCCGTTCACTCCAAAAAGCCCTCGTGGTTTACCAGGCTCCGTGTTGAGAGCTAAGTGAAGAGTCAGCAGTTTGAAGCCACCAGTCACGAGCTAAGGCAGTCGGCTCCTGTGAAAGTTCATGGCCTCCGGAAGCCCAGGGGGAGGCGGCCTGAGCTGGAATTGACTCACAGCCGGCTGGCCCACAGGTTGATGCTGACTCGCAGTGACCTTCAGGGACATATTGGTCCCATCCAGATTCTGAATCAGAATCACAACGAGAGGAGACTGCCTGCTCTTTCTCCCACAGAACAGCTGGTGGCTTCAAATGAATTATTCAGCTAGCTGGGACATCAACAGGAGGAATCAAGCAAGTGAGCTTAGTAACAGGAAGGAATCGTCACTCCCCTGGGCTACAGAAATCAAGGGCCGGGGCTGGGGTCCCCTAATGACGCAGAGGGAGACTCAGCTAGTACTGCTCAGGGTGGCCAGGGAGGAGAAAAGGGGCCACGTCCATTGCTGCCCCTGTTAGCTGAATACAGTTAGATCAAAGGACCCTGGGAAAGCAATGCCTTCTTCCCAACAGAAGGACAGGGAGAGGATGAGATCTGAAGACACTAAATTTGCCATCCAGGATGTCCCCAGCTCTGCAATTTATCCCACGTTTTGTCCCATCTAAGTGGCTATCAAGGCCTCTGGTGGTGTGGTCTGTGCTGTGCCGTGCCGAAAAACAGAAGGCTGGTGCCCCCAGTGGTTCAAACGCATCAGCAGCTTCGCAGAGAAGGACCGACAGTCTCTCACACAAAGATCTGCAGGCTCCGGGCGGAATAGAGGGTCACTGTGAGTTGGCTTCAATGACCCCGAGTTTTATTCGAGTTTGAAGTAGCTGTCAATAAGACTGTAAGATTCTCATTGTTTTAGGCATCACTTAGAATCAATGGTGTCTTTAAATAAGCCAAGGAGTCCTGATGGACCAGAACTCATCAACTGCTCACTCCAAAGGCTGATGATTCAAATGCACCTAGCAGGCCTGTGGGAAAAGACCCAGGGTGAAGGTTCCAGTAAACAGTACATTCTAGAAAACCTCATGGGGCAATTCCACTCTGTCACAGGGGGTCACTCTGTGTCGCAATTGACCTCAGGGCACCAAACAACGAGAAAGAAACTGAAAGGGTGCAGGTTCAATTCTAATCAGAGGTACCTTGGAAGAAAGGACTGGCCATCGTTTTAAAGGGAGGGAGCTCTGGTGGCCTAGTGGCAAGAAGCTGCGCTGTAATCCTGAAGGTACATGGTTCGAGGCCACAGGCTGCTCCATGGGAGGAAGATGGGCAATCTCCTCTGGTGAAAATTAACTGCCTCTGAAAACTCACTGGAGGGTCAGCTGTAGGTCAGTTCTGACTCTACGGTACACAACAACCACCACCAAGAATTAGAAACAACCCAACAGAAACTGACAAGAAAAATGCCACCAGTGAAACTAGGGTACAAAGCTAAGACTCAGAAGACACCCTGATTTAAAAGATGTTAAGATGTAAGACAGCAAGGGGGAAAGGATTAATGTTACATTGGATCTATGAACTCAAGTATGTTGTGGTTTGGTGTACATACCAAATAATTTGCAAGTGGACTGTGTGAAAGAGGTGGTGATGAAACTGCCGGAGGATGGTGAGGAGCAGGTTGGGAGGAAAGCAAAATAGGAGGAACAGTCTTTTTTTCCTTAAAATTGTGATTTGAGCAGAAGTGTACCAAGTCTTCCATTCAGCCATTCATACGTTGTTTTATGACATTAATTACAGTCTCCACAACGTAGCTGCACTCTTCCCTCTTCCTCCTTGTGATTCTTGTTTCCATTCAGCCTTCTCTCCTGCGTCTTTCTGCCCTCTGAGCTTTATCTCTGGGCAAATGCTGCCCTTTTGATATCACACGACTGATTATTCTGCAGAGTTCTTCGTTAATGTTACTGTTTACTCTATAGACTTACAGGGAGCTCTGATGGTGTGGGCTGTCAGAAGTTGCACTGGGAAGCCAAAAGGCAGCTCTCTCTCTGACAGTTCAAATCCACCAGAGGGAGAAAGATGGGCAATCTCTCCCCATGCAGTTTACAGCCTCAGAAACCCACTGGAGGATTAGCTATGAGCCAGTACCCACTCAGCCACAGTGAGTTTTGGCCTTTCAGTGGTTTTTAAAATTTTTGTTTGTTTGTTTTTTGTCTGTTTTTAATAACCTGACAGATACATCTATTTTTTTACTTCGCATCAAGCACAGGGGTGAATCTTGAACCAGGTTCTGAGGGTGACCAAGGACCATCGTCTTGAAGGTTCCACCAGTCTCTATTTGTATGAGTAAGCTTTGCCATTATTTTGGTTTTGAGTTTTGTTCCCCCCCTCCTTTTTTTTCCTACTCTACCTAGGACTTCCTGCTGTGATCTGAAAGGAAGAATCTTCACCAACTGCATATTGCCTCTGTTGTTTTTGCCCTGAGCCTCAACAGCTTGGCAAGCTTTGTGGTGTTGTCAATCTCATTTCACAGATAAGACTCAGGTGCTGAGAATCAGGAAGAGGGTTTCCTAAAGTGCAACAATTAGCAAAGCTTCAAGAGCCACTGCAACTGTGCCAAACAGACGCCTGAAGGAAAGCCAGATACGGGACTAGATGAATCCCAATCTCTTACCTGTAGGATTGGTGAACCATGATGATGACACTGTGGGTGTCGACAACAATTGGACTGATGGGGTGGGCGTCACCCACTGCAGTAACTCATGACCCACCTCCTGTACCAGGCCAGTCTTTACTAATAGTGTCAATTCTAATCATATATTCATACGTGATAAAGATGGTTATAAGTCACTTAGGTTGCTTACATGGAATATTGCAGACATTAACAACAAAATTATCTTGTAAAATCTTTCTGCACTCAACTGCAATATTATTCTTTACATAATAAAGGACTGGAAGTCTTTTTTTCCCTTCTTTTCCTTTCATGACTACTACATTCTAAAACGAAGTTCTTGGTATGTTGTTGTTATGTGCGGTCGAGTTACCTGCGACCCATAGCGACCCTATGTACAACAGCCCTAAACTCCGCTCTGTCCTGTGCCAATCGCACTGTCTCTGAAACTCCCATCCCAATTATCCCAGTCACTGAATCAATCCACCTCATAGAGGGCCTTCCTCTCCTGCGCTGTCCCTCCACCCTCCCAAGCATGATGTCCCTCTCTAAGAACCGGACCGTTCTCTCCTCACAACATGTCCAAAGTAAGTTAGATGGAGCCTCAGAATCCTTACCTCCAAGGAGCCACCCAGTTTAACCCTTTCCAGGACAAATCTGTTTGTTTTCCTAGCAGTCCATGGTATTCTCAGTACTCTTCTCCAGCACCACAGCTCAAAGGCATCAGTTCTCCTTCTATCCTCCTTGGTCATTGTCCAACTCTCTGATGCATAACAGGTGATTGCGAAGACCATGGCCTGTATCAGACGCACCTTAGTCTCCAGAGAGACACCACTGCTCTTCAGCACTTTGGAGAGGTCCCTAACAGCAGACTTTCCCATGGTAATGCGCCTTTTAATTTCCTGGCTGCTGGTGCCAAGACTGTTGACTAAAATACATCATAACATTGTGACAAAAAAACCAATAGAAAATAACAGAATCAGCGACCATAAAAATGAATAACAAAAGAGCTAGTACTGGTGAAATCGCATCATTCTAAGCTTCATTTTCATTTGATTAGAAGGACGGCTGTGAACAGAGCGTATTAGATCTACAAAAAAGTTTTTTTATAACTTGTTACAAGGCTATTTCGATAAAAACCCATACATTTCCGCTGAAACACTGTAAGATAATTTTAGTCACCTTGGATGACACTTCCTGTGCGAGTGCAGCCCACCTTCCTGCTTCATCTCCCAACGTGAGACAACGGATGCTATTATATTTTTAAAAAGACTTCAATAATTTAGGTTATTGCGTTAAACTGGAAGCACAGGTTCATCCAGGTGAAATCTCGTGGATGAATAAAGTGTCCGGAGGTTAGTCAGGTCTCCAGGATGCATCCTAGACACGGGGTTCATGAATAAGCGTCACTTCTGACTTAGGGAGACGTATTTGAACTTGACCATCGCCTTCCACCTGTATCCAATCTTTCCCAACAGGTCACGGGCGACACCTACTGGCCACCAGCCTCTCGCCACCCCTCCGGAGCGCACTGCGCATGCTCCCCGCTCGCTCCTCCGCCCTCCGCCTGCGGGCTTCTCGCGACATCCGGCCCGGCGGCGACCTGATCTCGCGATAAAGGCCGATTGTCTCGCGGGAGCGCGCGTAGCAGACGGGTTTGTCGGGCGGCCCTGGCCGGGAAGAGGAGTTGCATGTGTCAGTTCAGCTGGAGGGAGCGGCGGGAGCGGAGGCGGCGGGAGCTGTGCAACCGCCCGGGT